CCCACTATTTAAACAATCCATCAATTCAGAAAAATAACATAAAAATAAAAAACGTAACACTGTGGAATCAAGTAAAATATTAAACTAATGACGAATCCTGTAGCATACAAACCTCTTCAATAAGTACACTTAGTGATGGACCCCTGAAGTTTGTGTATAAACGTAAAAGCGTTAGACACAAGGCCCAAATTGATCAGACCAAGGGTGATATGGCAACTGACAACGGCCAAAACAGAATGGGAACTGAAGGAGGGAATGTGAGGGAGGTTGTTTCTGAATATTACACTTTGGGCGTTCTTTTAATAAAGTTGTGTCTGTATCTGAATTGTGTGTGAGCATTTTGATTGTTCATATGTGACAAAGTTGGTGTGTTGTTTCATTCACTGGTACCATCACTTACTAAGCTACGTTTACCATCTTCTTTTTTTCTTTTTTTCTTTTTGATAATCACGTTTACCATCTTTTAAGTACAGGGCAATAAATGTCAACTTCAAGTTAACATTACAAAATTTTCCCAGAATTATATAGTTTGTCGCTACTATATGTAATATAATTTAGGAAAAAGGGGAAGAAAAGAATAAAAAGATTCAGGGAGAAGCTATCGACAGAGATATTCCGAACTTAATTCTTGACCTGGCTCTAGCTTAATTTCCAGAAACTTATGACCTGCTTCCGCAAAATCTACACTGGAAATAATAATAAAGTAAATTGTTCTTTGAAGGTTAATAAGATTTGTCCCATTTTCATCCTTTATTATCATATTTTGCTCTTCTACTTCAGTTTCTTCATCTCATCGTCCTCCAAGTCTGCATCACAATCTACTTCGTTCTAAGAATCCTCACCCCAATTCTTCATAACATTTCCAATTCTCCAAGAAATTAGGGCTGACCCAAATACGTATGAGAATAAAACAAAAGTTAAAAACAAAAAAACAAAAAAAGCAATTCACAATCACATAGAACCACAAGTGGATATAATAGAATGCAGCGACAAGCTAAACTATTTAATTATGCTCAGAGAATCTTCTTATCGATTTAGCAATGGCAGAGCATTTTAGCAGACTCAATGACAACTGCATTATAGTTTTGAAAGCGGGTAAAGTGGTGTTAATATAACAGTAAAGCGGATGGTTTAAATAAAAACAAAAAACAAAAAACAAAAAACCCAAAGAATTATGTTAATTGCAAAAAGCAAGGGATTCAGGGTGTGACATGAAGACACGAGACAAGAATAAAAGAGCATATAATTATAAAATAGTACAACCTAAAAGCTTCTATAAGCATAGTGCAACGGAATACTCACTGTCAAGGTATTATTTAGGTGGGAAATAATGGATATGGATCCTCATTCCCTGACAAACCTCAGCTACTTCAATACTGTTATCAGTAGGCTTCTACGGAAAAACCGTGAGCAACTCTAAAGCAATGACCTCATAGTCATGAGCCACTTGTTGGTTCACCAGATTTGCAATAAATTTAACAGCAGCTAGCAATTGAGGTATTTTAAAAAGTATTTTAAAAAAATTCGTGTTTGATTAGGTATTAAATAAAAACACCACACATCTTCAGCAGAAAAACAGTCGCCGCGTAATTTTTCATTTGGCTTATAAGCTCTCTTAAGCAGCAAAATGATCATTCACAATAGAAGACTCCATAACTAAAGTGATTTGACTTAAGTGGTATATACTTAATTTCACTTAAATAAGGTTTTGAATTCAAGTTTTGTAAATGCAAAAAATCTCTTTTGGAAAAGCTAGTTCCATTATGATATAATGTTTCCGGCTCAAATATAAAATACTTGTGATTTATCGAGAGAAAAAAAATATAGAAGGAATGGACATTCTTATCCAATGTTCTGAGTAGTGTTTGGTTCCTTCAATTGGGACGGATGGACATTAATTATACTAAGTAGAAGCGATCTAATTGTCCCTCAGTTATGTTCATAAAGACCAAAATCTTTGATTGTCAAAATCACAAATGTCAATAGAGTTTTGGTCTTTATGAACATAATTAAAGGAAATAAACGACAACATCATTTTTGTCAAACATGTCCAGCCCAATTACGATGATAGGCTGGATTGGGCCATTGCATTTGCTACCAAATAATATATTGGGCCCGTTTTGAAAGGACTCGACGAAAATAATAATCGAAGCTCTTTAGATTTGGATTGCGACGTTTTTGGGCTAATGTTGCCACTTTGTCTTTAAACATGGTTTTCGGAACACTTTGACATCCTAAAGTTAAAGATGTTAAGGAGAATGACTCATTTACAAATTTTTATTTACAAATTACACTAAGTCTGATCGGTCATACACTCTTGATTGAAGTATGACCGGTTAGACATAGTATAGTTTGTAAGAGTTTATATATAAAATATTTGTAAATATAACCTTCCCCATCAATTAAATATTTAGTTTAAATTTAGTTTGTTATAAACATATAAAATTTAAGCTTATTTTATTTATTCAAACAAGTATATAATCTTAGACTAGATTTTTCCTAGTTATACCTATAACTCAGCAACTCAACAATTCAATTATGCAATCTTCCTAGTCATAAAATACAAAACATGTATTATGCGTACAATTCTCTAGTGTACGAAAGACGACACGATGAGAAGCAAAAGAGCCAAAATATGAGTCTAATCAGAAACAATAGAAGGGAATAGTTTATTTTACTTTTTTGGTACATTATATTTTAATTTTTAAAACCAAGAGATGGGAACAAAACAAGTAGTCACCTTGCTTGATTTGTTGTTTGTCGAGGGAAATGCAATCCAAAACCATAAGGGCCAAGCATCTTTCATGAATGACTCGTGAGTCAAGGCTCTGACTTGCTAATTGCTTTCCAAACGCAGACCCAGTGTTTAGAAGGACCACTTGAGACAGCAGGTAGGGTTGAAGACAAAAAAGGCACATTTGGTTTACAATAACGATGGGTCCTCTGATGATCTTATGATGTTAAATTAATGGTACTTGTTCCCAACCCATAACACTTGTTCATGTTAGTGCTACTCATTCCAAGTTTTAGTCACGTACACTTCGTCTAAGAGGATCAGATTTTGCACATCATAGAACACAGTGCAATTCTATTCCTTGTTTGTTTTCTTAATAGAATCTATAACTTCTTTTTTCAAAAGGTTAGATGAACTGAAACTAATACTATGGGAGTAAATTTGAGTATAAAATATGGTGGACCACATTTACTTTGCCGTAAAAAGGTTAAGTTATACACAGTCGTCAAAATTATTAAATTTTGTATTTAGCACATGGCTGGCAGCTATACGTTAGATTCTCTAAGTTGGTGACCTATGAAACCAATCAGTTACCTAAGCAGTGTCTAGTTGGAAGCAAGGTAAAACCTGCAAGTAACTCATTGATAAAGAAACATAAAAAGATTTGGGAGCAATTGGCTATTACCGAATTGCTTAATTTTGGAACAACTTGTCCCATATATAATCATTACAATACTTTTTTTTCCTTCTATTTTTACCGGAAAGAGAAAAAAATTCATAGCATCTGTTTCTCCATAATTATATATTTATGTGAGTTTAAATTATTTATTAAAATAATGCACCGGATGTCAAATCTATACCTCATTATCATCTTTTATCTGTTAAACTCGTGAAAATATTGTACCATAAACTTCTGATGAGAAGTAGCTTGAGGATGTGTTAAAGAATTATAAACTTTAGTTTGTAGCTCATTATCATGTATAGAGGCTTAATTAATTAATTGATACTATAATAAATCACGACTGTTCACGGAATTAACAGTTCTAATGATTATGCTCATTTTCATTTCAATAGACGAAGTCAATACTTTATTCTCAAAAGATAAATGCCCTGAATACCAAAGTGATTAGTGCTTTACAATTATAACAATGTACTAATAAGCCAATTGGGCATCAAAGACAACTCCCAATGCGAATAAATTTTTTGTGCTACTTCAGTACATCCCACCAATAAAAGCATTACATGTCAGTTAAAATTTTCTTTTTTATGCCAAAATTTTCTCTCTCCTATAATATGTAATGCTCTCATTGATGGAATGCACTGAATCTAGGTGCAACAATTGCACCGAAAATTTATTCCCCCAACGCAACCTGAATACCAAAGTGAAAAAATTGCAAATATTGTAATTGGATAAAGGTAACATAAACTTTTCGCGGGGGAAATTTGTTAGCAGCTATGATTTCGAATAATTCGCACTCAATGCCCCTTGAAGATTGCAGTTAAACTCTTTAATTATATGACCACTTTTCTTCAGTCCAAAACCACAATAATCATGTCAAATTTGACCAAGATTGAGTCATTGATCTTAATGCAAGAAAGTAGAAACCCAACAATCGAAACTTCATTATGTACATGCAATAAAGAAAGGAAATAGTTTTTGGTTTTCTTTTTTTATATTTAATGTAGATAAGTTATCTAAATTGAGTTCAAAACGACATTATTTTGGACGGAAATCAAGGTATTTTTGTAATTATAATTTATTTCAAGATTATAATGGTCTTTTTGATTATAATTTTTTAATCTTTCAATCTAAAGTAACGTCATTTTGAAAGTGAATATAAATAACTTATCTAATAGAAATATTAAAGCCATAATTTTTAGTTTATAAAAGTGCATAATTATCGGGACTTTTCCTTTTGGAAAAAGAAAAAGGAAGTTATATGTATTTTAGCTGGCATTGTTTATATTTCAAATATTGTTGGATCCTTTTACTAATAACCTGTTTAATCAATCACTTTCAAATACGTAAAGTATATGGGTTTTATAAGAGTGATGTCGTGGGAAAAGTGATTGTGTAATGTTATAGAGATTTATTTTGCGTGTCTTAATTTTTTATTTTTTATTTGTGCTTCAAAAAGTACATATCCCACCAAATATTGTGTGTGTAGGAAACTTTTTGTGTCATGTAACGTAATGAATGCAAACCCCAAAGTATATACAATTATATGAGAAAAACTGGAGATCATGATGGTGTGTATGTGAAGGACATCGAAAAAAGGTTTCACATATACCAATCTCATAAACAATCGTATTCTACAACTCTTACACCTCATATATTAGGATTTTATAGCAACTAATCTTCGCTAATCCCGTTTTTCACGATCTAATCGTTATTCTATGTGCACGGAAATTACAAAAAATGCTAAAAAAGAATAACTAACTCTTACACGTGCAAGTAAGCTCTCACACGTGCGTCAGAATTCTGAGAGAGAAACATTTCTTTTAAACTTGGAAGACGGTGATGGTGACGGCGAAGCCGGCAACGACGGCGATTTCAAGCTCTGGAAGTAATCCCTAATGTCCATGCCTCGATTTCCGGTTAACAATTTCTCCAGCGATTCTCCGACACCGTCATCTCTCGACGGAATGAACGGCGGCCGCTCCAATTCCGTCAATAGATCCCACCGAACCCCTCTGAAGAACTCGTGCTCCTTGATCTCCGCAGCGCCTCGCGCGTAACCCAATCGCTGTGCAGGGTCCTTTTCCAACAACTTCTCTATCAGGTCCGTTAACGCCGAACGTTTCCCGACGAACGCCGGCAGTTTCGTCACCACGTTTCGGAACGTTTCCTTCCGGTTCTTCCCCTTGAACGGCGTCGTACCGTACATCATTTCGTAGGTGAGTATCCCCAGGGCCCACCAGTCAACGGCGAACTCGTGGCCGTCGCCGCGGACGACCTCCGGCGAAACGTACTCCTCCGTGCCGACGAACGAGTTGGACCGTTCGCCGTTGGATAAACTCGGCTTCCGTCGACTCACCGGGCTGACTCGAGCGGACTTGGTCTTCTTCAAGCCGTTAATGCTATGATGACTCGTGTCCGGCGGAAGGAGCGGGATCCACCGGGAGAAGTTCCGGCAATGTTTCCGGGGAGGTTCTGGAGGCTTGGAATCTGGCAAGGGTATAGAAGAATCAGTGATTTTGATGGTGTTTGGTATGAGCTTGCGAGAGAGATCGAAGTCCGTGAGGGTCACGTGACCGGAACGTTGAATGAGGACATTCTCTGGCTTTAAATCGCGGTAGGCGATGCCCATGCTATGGAGGTGGTCGAGAGCGCAGAGGATCTCGGCGAGGTAGAAGCGGATGACGGCGGGGGAGAAGACGCGGTCAGTTTGACGGTAACGGAGGACGTTAAGGTCGCCGCCGGGGCAGTAAGGCAGGGCCCACGCGAGGAACTGTTGAGATTCGAATGTGCCCAGAATTGAAGGAAGGAATGGGTGGGAAAGTTGGGAGAGGACCTGGATTTCCCAGCGGGCGCGGCGGTCGGCGTCGAGCTTGGCGTGGATGGAGGTTTTGTCCACCACTTTGAGTGCGAAGGGGGTGGCGGCGGTGGTGGTGTCGAGAACGAGGAAGACTGTGCCCATGGCACCTTTTCCGAGGACTTTGAGTGCTCTGAGATTGTCGAGGTCCAGCTCCGGCGACGGTGGAGCTGCCGTTGCTGAATCCATTTAATTTTGATGGTAGAAGAGAGAATGAGAGGTTTTGTTGGTTACGATGTGACTTTTTATAGCGTTTTCTTTCTGTTTTGGGTTTGTTTATTTTTCGTGTTTTCTGTGCGTTTTGGCTTTTTTACTTGCCAAGTGACAGTCTTATTATATTTCTAACTTTCCTGGTTGCTTTAATTTTCTTAACAATATTACATACATTATATATAGGGAAATATTTTTTTTATGTTATAGGAAAAAAGTTATATCATGTTCTAGAAATAAAATTATAAGAAGAGAAAAAAGAGAGTGGTGAGACCCAATCTTTTTTTCGTGTGTGTAAAAAATTTGTTTATCTCATGTAAAATGAGATAAATATAACGTTTTACATACACTGTTTACAAGGAAATTCAATTTATTTCAGCTGGAATTTATTATGAACAAAACAATAATAATTTATGAAATTATGATAGCTCAGTTGATTCTTGAGAATTGAGTAGGTGGGATGAGAGATATATTTGATCATTCTCGTATCATTTTTTAGATGGATTTAAAATCTTAATTTTGGACTCACGTTGAATCGGACTAATCGTGAAGCAATGAACAAATTGAAATATTTAAAAAAAAATAGAAAGTTTATTTTTAGTCATATTAATCTACAATCGAAAGTATTTATCCTTAAATTTGGGGTGTGATTAAAGTCACCCAAATATTTTAAACTAAATTTATTTTATTCCATTACTAATCTTTTAAACACGGTATAATTACGAAGAGAAGAGAAGACTCAATTTTTTTTGACAGATTTCATGCACTTAGGGGAACGAATCACTTTCAGATTTTCCAAATATTAAACTGGCATTGTACGGGCGTTTGGTAAATGACATATTTTTTTTACTGAAAAAACATAAGTAATGGAAAAATGATAGAAAAATAAGTTTGATGAAAAAGTTTAAAAAAAGATATTTGATTCACTGAAGTATTACCGGAAAAATTTATTTAACTTTGTAAAATCTATATTTGGTTGAATGTAAAATAGAGATGAGAAAATAGGTTAAATTGATCAAAACACTCATGTTATAAATTTTTTTTAAAAGAACCACTACATACAATACAATTGCAGGCTCATTTCCATCAACAACTTGGAGCCCCTTTTTTCGCTTCCCATCTATCCTAAAATATGACATTTGAAATGATATTTTGGAATAGTTAATTTCACCAAAAAAACAACCGTGAACTCGTTTACTAGGCTTCCTGTTGACCTGGTTTTTTTTTTTTTTTCCAAATGTGATCTTTTTCCAATTGCCACCCACACTTCCCCATTAAAAAAAAAAAAAAAAAAACTGTACCAAACACACCTTTTAAACTTTTTCCTGGTGACATACTGGCATGGCATCTAATATAAGTTACACAATTCACTCTTTATTTTCTTGGAATATTTCATCATCAAAATAATAAAATTTACTTTCAATTTTTTTATTTTATTTCACGTTAAATGTGTGCGAAAATATATTGTAGAATTATTTATTTACTTTTCATATATCTCTTGTGGAACAAAGGAATGTTTATTGTTCTTGAAAGGCAGGATATCCTGTCCAGTTGTGTTGTGTTGTGTGTGACTTATATTAATTTGGCAATAATACGCAATTGAGATAATTCAATTGAATTTCTACCAATGCCAAGTTGGCCATGCAAATAGACTTGAAGTTTGTATCAGGTTGATGTCTGCTTTACTAAGACTTTTTATCATGTGACCATGAGATAAAGTATCTGATGTGCTTCTGCAGATACGCATGACCAATAAAGCGATTGACTAGCATTTATTTTAATATTTTGATGTCATGAATGATATCTCCAACATGAACTTGGATAAAACCAATTCATGATGTTCCAACAGGAAGCATGATTTGTATGTCCAACAGAGATGTAAATGCCAATATATGGAGAACCAGTATAACAATGAAGCAAGTTGTATGTGAAACATGTATTGATAATAAAACCAGCAATCGGTATAGAAGTATGCAAATTAGGACAACATCATAATACTCTTCATTTGGTGAATCTTGAACTTGAAGCTCGGGCAGTTGTCAAGAAAGTCAGCCTCTTCAAAGAAAGCCCCAACACTAAGCAAAAAAGTTAAATTTTTATGCTAAAAAGAATTTAAAATGATTTACTAATAATTCAGAGAACATTTCAAAAAAAAAAAAAGGTAAATATAACTCCGTCCTAATTATATTGTACGAGTATGTGGAGAATGAGGAGTTGGTAAAGAAAGAGAAGGCATGGAGGGGCGCACGTGCAAGACGAAAAGAAAAAGATGCATAGAGCCAAACAGAATGACAAAACAAATTGGTTGTACGGTTATCACATGGAGGCTCCCCTAATATAAGGTGAACGTGCGTCCTATATCGCTACTACTTCTTGGAACCTTGTCGTTTCCTTATAATAAAACACCATATTTCATTTATCTTTCCCCACTCTACTTTTATATAGCTAGCTAGCTTTTCAATCAACAAAAGGAAATTATTTTTTAGTTTAAGAAATTATTCCTTTCAATTATTCTAATGGCCATGTGTATCACTGTATTGCATTCACTTATTAAAGCTATACACAAATTTGTCCTTTTATTGGTACTAATCTACTTCACTAAGTTTTATGAAATTTAGATACATGCTTTTATTATTTGCTGCAATCATCTTTGGGTTTTGCTCTGGCCATTATATATATATAAGCAGTGTCATAGCAGCTTCCGCTTCCATATAATTATTGTTGAAACATTAATGCGGTAAAACGGGTGGATTTAATTGTTTAGTCTTTATAGTCGTGTTTTTAATTAGTCTTAGAATAATAATTCATACACACTTTGTCTGTTTTCGATTTGATTAATTTTCCCAAATGTATATATTGGAATGCTAATTTGCTAGTTGCTACCAGCTCATCACGAGAAATTTAGAAATGAAATATTTTAATAATCAACCAATTGTGTTTTTTTTCCCATAAAAAATGTTGAATATACTATAAGCCGGATCTGAATTTTCTTGTGTGTAAAAAATATGATATGGTTATGTGAAAAGATTATAATTATAAAAAGGTGAATTAATAATAATAATAAAAAGAAAAAAATTATTAAAATTATTAATTCACTTTTATATAATTATAATCTTTTCATATGACTATGTGTCTATGTCATATTTTTCTTTTACAGAGAAGACAATCCAAATCTTAAAAGCCCGATAACCCCTCTAATTAAACAGCAAATTGCGAGCCAAAAGAAGACAACACTATTAATGGAATTTCATATGCTCAATGTTTCCTTAGTTGCAATGTACGTGTTAACTGATAAGGCACTTCAGGGTGACAATTTGTAGTGGGTTTTTTTTTTTGGATATATATGCCATTGCCATATTAATGATTCCTTAGGTAGGTGCTGAATTAGTGATAGCTCATAGCTTAGTCAAAAGTGTGGGCTTTATGCCAACATAAAAGATGAATTAGAATTCAGCCTATATTTAAATTAAGGGTTTAGTGTATGTTATTTTAAAGGAGGTAAGCTGTGTCTTTTTAATTTTTTACTCTATATACTCTTAGTAGTACATGTTGAGAATGGAACGAGGGAGCCCGAAACCCTTTACAAAGGGTACATCCACCAATGGGCCAAATGACAAACCATAATAAGTGAGCCGACACCACTTCTCAACTCAAAATCTTAAGGCTGTAGGTTTATGGGTCTTTTTGCACTTATATGGTCATCACTTGGTCTATGTCTAGCCAATGTGGTACTTCTTTACAACTCATACTTGAATACTTCCAACAGTACATAGTTATAATATGAAAAGTTATTCTTTTTTTTTTCACTTTTCACGTCAAATGAGGAAAAAGAATAAAAGAGCAATTTTTCATGTTATAACTATGTATTACCCATAAAGTAAAAAAATTAAAAGGACACAACTTACATTCTTTTAAAGCACAAAAAGTTTTCTATTAAACAAAACTAAGTTTATATTTAGTGGACAAGTGGAGGACAGAATCATTATGCTTCCTTTAACTCATGAATTGAAAAGCTTTCGATTTGCCAATTTTCCGCTTGAAATTGTGACCTTTAGAAGGAAACTACTAACATAAGAAACCACAGTACAAAACAAGTAATTAATTAATACAAAAACACAAGTAAATAATTCATCACAATCATTTTCTAGTTCATAGATTACAAGACCAGTTGCAAAACAACGTGGAGTAGGAATTGGATATATGTTAGGTGATTCCGTTAGACCGAATCCTTGATAACATTACTTATATATCAATTACAAAAAATAAATAAAAAGGTTTAGAAAGCCATAAAGATAATTTAACCTAATTGGTGTTTTAAACTCCTAATCCTTTCATAATTTAGGTATAATCTTGATGCTTTTGTATTGTGATAATGGGATTATGATTCCGAAGTGTGTTAGTACAACCTAACAATTATGCTAATTAGATGGTTTTCTATTTTCGGAGGACATTAGTGTTCAGGGAGATTTAAAACTATCTTCGGAGATTTGATCTCGTCATGGAATGACCACCAAGGTCCAATATAGAGGCTAAGTGCTTGCACCCTTAGAATAGGACAAATGTTTCATGATCACATCATATCTCACTCCTATTATACATTCCTCACACACATAGTGGAGTCCACAAAGCACAACAATTAGGTTCATCTTGTCTACACAAGGGAATTTTGTCCCACTATAAATATCTCACTCCTCCATTGAGGAGCCACCTTTGAGACATCATTCTCTATTGTTATTACTGTATTGAATTATAGCCTCACCACAGCCAATTGTACCCTTCACTTCCCCTTGATTCTCAGCTCTTGCCTAAGATTTCATTGGTGATTTCTCAGCTAAGCTCTGAATCATACTAAAGTCTTACATTGAGATACTCTAACCTTTTCAAAAACATATACACCATCTCTTAAACGAATCAAACCTCTTACTTAAATTTGGCCCTCTTCGCAAAATCATTTGGAAAAAAGAATTTTATGCTTTCATTTGA